TCGCGTCGGGTTTGGGATTCATCGTAGTTCTCGCTGTCGCTGTTTTTGGTTTTGTTTCGTGTGAATGCGTGTGAAGGGCCAATCACATTAATTAGCTTCCTGCAGCGCTGTTGCCATCTGAATCTGCTGATGTCAAGGCCCCTAAACATGGGGCGTCTTGGAAGATATTTCATCTTCCTCTCTACAGCCAGACCGCTGTTTTTTCAGGTCGGAGTTGCAGGTCCAGACGGCAGACGATCTCACCATGTCGAACGATATCAAGATGTATGCACGGCACTTTTCATGGGCAGGGTTCTTCCCTTGTATGTGCAGAGAGGCTTGTGTCTCAGGGAAGGATTGAGTGACTGAGGCTGCGGGCTACATCGAAGGCCTCCTGACGTGCGTACGCATTTCCGAGTTCTATGCCAACAGCCAGAAGTTCCGTGGCCTGGGTATTTCAGGTTTGCTTCTGGAATTGCATAAGGGTTCTTCATCCTCGAGTTCGTTGTAGGTAAACCTGACAGCTCGACTTCCCGAGGGGTGCAGTGCTGAACTTGCATTGATAACGGAGCACTCTCCTCCTCTGCCTCTGCGAGAGTGGCCTCAAAAGATCCGCGATACTGTCGCAGATGGCACTCGTTACTTCAGAGTAGGTCCTTACCACGACAGGGTTCAAAGACACACTGACAAGATTTCAAACTTTCGATCGCTCATTGGCTTCGCTGGGCAAGTTGGGTCTTGGATATTGTTGTGGCCTTCCCTGCTGTTCGTTGGAGCCAAAAAGTTCCGAGGCTCCTATTGGAAAAAGACAAGACGGTTGGCGCCTTATCCGGGTTTTGGCCGCGGTGCTGTAGTTCAGAGCCAGCACCGCAGACGGTTTCAAACACTGACTCTGCTCAGAGAAGGTGCCTTTGCACCTGCATAGGCAACGGTATGCAGAGAGTCCAGGCGAATGCTCTGCCGGGCATCCGCACGCTCTTCAAGAACCAGCCTAGCTGACGCGGCTTTAGATTGACTCGGGTTGATTGGGCATGTGCGGACGAACAGGGATGGTTCAGAGAGCAAAACACACACCAAAAGCCCAAAAGACCAAGGGAGCGAGCTCGATGGTTTCGTCAGTTTTGAGACGTCAAAATTGATTTGAGCCAGGATGGCTCATGCGCGTTTCATGACAAACATGGAGCCGGGGCCTCGGCACTGAGAGCTCTGCTAACAGACAGTTCGGTAGACCGAGGAGTCCTATGTCTGTAGCACAGACGTGGACTTGGTGCTGATGCACATCTTGTAATATCAGGTAGTGCTAGTGCTGCTAATTTTACTGCGATCAGGCTATCATTCGTGTTCTTGTCACTGTTGTTGTTACTCTCACGATTGCGATCATTGTTGTTATTATTATTGTTCTTCTTACTACTGGTGATATTATGGTTATGACCGGGATTAACTTGTGATTTCTACAACGATTAATCGTTCTCATTTTCGTTTGCATTTTTGTTGGCTTTATTATTACGGCTATCATCTTCATTCTTCTTCTTCTTTTGGTTGATACAACCATTCTTATTAGTACTACTACAACAATTACTATTGTTATTATTGTTACTATTACATGAGAATTATAAGCATTATCATAAACAATATTATTACTCTTCTTCTTTTTTTTATGATGGTGGTGATGTTTATTATTGTTGCTATTATGAGTGTTGTTGTTGTTGTCGTTGTCGTTGTCGTTGTTGGCTTTCTGTCCTGTTAACGAGGTCCCACGTCTTCGCCGAGGAGCCCAAGGACCCCTACTGGAAGCAGGTGCGCTACACGCCTTGGGCTCAGCGCTTCTGGCGGGCATTCTTAATTTTTGTTGACGGCATGTGGGTTGATTGATTGCCTTCAGGTTCTTCCAGATGTGGGGTCTTCTGGATGGCTAGCGCCTCAAGCCCGGATGGGAGGACAACAGGTGCTGTCTGAGGACGGGCCCGTTCCCGAGTCAACCCGGTTTCCTCCGAAATCTTGAAGCAGTAGTGTGGTTGCCGAAGCGATATGGTTCTCAAGAGTTGCGAAGGGTGACAGGTGAACTCATGGAGGCTAGTTCGGGGGTTCAGCAGGGCAGGTGACTGCTTGCATTGAGCTCTTGACGGGAGGGTTCTGAAATGCATGCTTGAGTAAGGCTACAATGCCGCATCTGTTCGCTTCGGTGGCGAGATGCTGGAGCTCGAAGACATGCTCTTCATGAATGCCTTGGGCTTTGTTAGATCTCGTGCAGTGTGCTTCGGTCGGGGCGTGGTGGGGATTGGCCTGGCTGTGCTGGGATCTTCTTGCGTGCTTTCCATGTCCAAACAACTGTAGCTTGGTGGCACACCAGGGTGCTATTTCTTGCAATCTTGCTACAAGTCTCAAAACGGCTTTTGGGCCGAGCTCCGGACACGAGCTTTTGCTTTTTGTTTGACCTTCGGCAATACGTTATTAATTCCGTCTGATGGTGGCTCTGCTCACTGATCTTTGTCCCTGCTGGACCTGAGTGGCTCTCGTTGTCTCGCCGGAGCACCTAAAATCTCCATGTTCGAAGGTGTGCATTGTTTGGTGGATGAACGCGAATACATGTGCATGCGTAAAGGGCCCGTGCCTTGCACGTCCATATGCATGCACTCTCAGCTACATCAATCAAGGACAGTTCCAGGTGAGTAATTGCTAGTTAGGACGTCGGTATCCTCGTAGGAGGCCGACATGGGAGTCATGTACCCGGTGCTATCCACACATGTGCCTTGTTTGGGCCTCTGCGACGATTGAAGAAGTGGAGGCCGGAGGTGAGCTCCCGCAGCTGATGCAGGCACTGGGGTGCAACATTTGCAACAGAGGTAGTTTTGTTTGGGGTTCGGGGGTTAAGGGTCGCGGGTTTAGGGTCTAGCAGTTCAGGGTCGTCGGGGTCTATGGTTCCGAGGTGTAAGTACGGCAGCAGTCCTCTTTGTGAAGCATCGCTTTTCAGTCGCCCGGGTTACATGCAGCCCTCGGTTCTGGAGGAATAGTCGGCATTTTTCCACACCATCATGCCTCATCCCAAGTTAGTACCTGCTTTAGGTCTTGAAGTTGCAGTTGGATTTCCATCGATTACGATCAAACTTCCATCAGCAGCCCGGCCATGCCTCCGTTGCGCGTGGCCTTTCTGGGCGACTCCTGGGTGACTGACTTTGAGGTGACCGATGAAGGACCTTCGAAGATTTGGCAGATATAATATAATATAATATCATTTGATATAATGTTATTTCATATAAAGTTTGGGATAGTTTGGGGTTTGGACCCATAGGCCTTCGCAGATGCCTTCTTGGGCTGGTCCTGGAGTGGGTTGTCACCGACTCAGGGCGTGTTAGATGCTTCAAGGGCTCAACGAATTAGGGAGGCATGAGGTAAACTCGACATGCTCCGCCTGAATTTTCTAGTTGGGATGAGAGGCTACTCTTACGACTCCAATCATCAGGGAGCCTGTTCGTGGACTCCTGCAGTCGGGAAAAGGTGTGAAGAAAAGCTGTTGGGTGAACAGGAATTCATAAAAAAAGGAAGCATCTGAAGTCATCCAGGACAAAAAGTCGTTCAGCGCCCTGCCGCCGCAGCATTCAAGGCGCTGGCGGGAAATCCGGCGATGAACAAATCATGGAAATTTGAGGTTGAGGGAGTGTAACCCGAAGCTGGAAAGATCCGAAGGTTGCTGTCCTCAAAGCCTCCAAAGCCCCTAGAGCCATCGAAATACCCTGTGCAGGATTCGCTGTCGAAGAGCCTCGGCTTTGGCGTTACTTGGGTACTCATTGTTCACTTGGACTGGTAAAGTGCTGTTGAAAAAGATTGCGACACAGCTGTACGTGCGTATTCTCATATCTTGCTCCTTTCATTTCCGATCGCTCGTGGACGTAGATCCGTGATTATTGATGCGCACTTCTGAGAAGGCTTGGCTGAATTTCAAGGATGGGTAGACTTGCATTCTTGAAGAATTGAACTGCTTCTTCTGGTATTTGATCGTCACTGCTATCTCTCGAGCTTCCAGGAGCCTCGGACCTCTGGAATTGGTTGTGGCCGGCCGCTGGGCTGCTTTTGCTTTCGAGGTCCTTGGGAGTCAGGGCATGGAGCGGCCGCGTTGTCAGAAGGTGGATTCTGAAGTATCGGTGGTTTTATCTGTATTGCTGCTTTTTGAGGGTGAACAGCTGCGCAAAAGCTGGACCCTGAAAGACGCCATTTTGCAGTTTGAAGAACGGGATTTGTGCAGAGTCTTCAGCCTTACTTACAGGTCCTGATCAGAACCGGTCTGGCTGTTAGCTGTTGGTATCTACCTCGGCTTAGGAGCATGCCGACCCTGGAACACCCAAAACACCCAACCTGAAACTTCTTGGAAGCAGAACTCCCCACTGCAGTCATAGTAAGGGCCACATCGAACTCATGGAAATCGGGCCGAAAAAGCCTTTTGCCTCACGCAAGGCTTCCCCGGATGCACGAGTCACCGCCTCGGGCGGCTCTGTGATCTCCTGCGGTCGCTAGGCACACCAACGGGCTGAGCATCTGTAGAGTTTCGTCGCTCCGACGTCAGCAGGGGCAGATTCTGAGATTCTAGCACTGCCAAAGCAGCAGGGCTGCTTGCGCTCGAGAGTGGGCAGAGGTGTCGGGTTTCGAGAGGTGCATTTTCTGCCAGAGCTCTGGGAAGTTATTGCCATGGTATGGAGGGAGGGCGAGCGGGACGGGGGGAGGGAGGGAGGGAGGGAGGGAGGGAGGGAGGGAGGGGAGAGCAGAAGCTGGACCTGCTGTCGCCATCAACATCATGTGTGTGTGTGTGTGTATGTGTATGTATATATATATATGTACACACACAAATTTTTACATACACATAGATACATATAAACTTTACAAGCAGGATCAAGAATCAAGAGTGCTCAAGCATCACAGCACCACTTTGACAAGCATGAAACTCGCAAGCTTTGCCCTGGAGCTCGAAGGTGAACTGCCAAGCTTCAGAGCTATCCAAACACTTGCGTTCCGAGCCGAGGATCCGCGAGATGGCCAGCTTTTCAGATGGGTCCCCCTCTGTCAAGGTGAGCATTGCCTCTATGTGCCAAAACTTGGAGTACGCGGACATCCCACTGCTTTCAGAGATCAAGAAAGGCCGGCCATGGCACAATAGATCCAGTGTGGCCCCTTCATGAAGCGGAGTGACTATTCGTGCCACAGTGTGCGCTGATGGAAGTAGATGTGCAGTGTGGTGTGGGTGGCGAGAGGCGAAGCTCTCGACTTCGCCGTCGTTGTGATTGGCAGCAACGATGTTTACACCGAAAGTGCGGCTTGAACTGGCAGTGAGATTGGTGGTGGAAGTTGCTCTGTGCATTGCCAGTGGGCTCAGTATGCACTATGTTCTTGCAATCGCAAAGCCAAGGCCGATGCGATAGTTCACAACTTGATGCGACTGCGCCGCCTTCTTGCTGCCCGGGATGTCGAAGTCATCTTGTGCACGTTGTACGTGAATCTCGAAGACAGGAGCCGGCAGGGGCCTGAAAGCCTTAACAGCTACTCAGAACGATGATAAACGATGCAGGCTCGCTCTGAGCTTCTGACCTATCCAGGACCTCGTGGCCCTACGCGGCCGAGGTTTGCGATGAGGCCGGGCTCTTCTGTCTCACGCTGACCGCCCAAGACAGTGAATGTTCTGTCGGAAAGTCGCCCAGCACAAGGGCACACAAAGCATGGACTTTCAGTCCAGTCCACAAGAAATTCAAAACTGGCCTTAACACCGAAATTTGCTGGACAAAAAACCCCGGCAGCATCATACAGTGTGCGAGAGGGCGTGAAAGAATTTTAGATTGGTGCTTTTGGCAGGGTCATGCCGGTCAGAGTCAGTGCGCCCTGCCAGGTGAACAGTCAGCTCCTACAGGACGGCATAGTTGCGGCCATAGAGTGCGGTAGCTGAAGCGGGAGTGACGTTCATCTCAAGCAGCGCTGTAGGAGGTATGGTAGATGTGGGCACATGAGACTCCACATCCGCGTTGCTCGACAGGAGGATGGTATCATTGACACAGATGGGCTTTTCAAGACGTTGACGCGCGAGATGTGGGCCAACACCTACCACCTGACTACCGAAGGCCTTTGCATGGGTTGCACTGCCTGCCATAATGAAGTCATGCTAAACTCTCAGTGCTGTCAGGGTGTCACCCCTATCTTGCTCGCCCCGCTGCCAAAGGCTACCATGAGTTTGGGCGGCGATTGGCAGAGGTTGTTGCGGAGCGCTTCCGCTTCGATGCCACCGTTCCTCTTACTCTGTCCCCGGGATCCCTTTTCCTGCAGGGTCCGGGAGACTTTGTACATAGATTATTGCAGGGAACCTATGTCAAGGAGTCAGGCACCAACCACGGCAGGCCCATCTACAAAAAGATGGGTGCGAGGGGCACCACGAGAGTGTTCCTCTTCTACTGGGATGCCAATGATGGACCCGAATGGAACGGTTGGTGGCTTGGGCCCAGCCTCAGCTTTGACCACCCTGGCTGGGGCTTCCATGCAAGCACCGGCAACGAGCCTCCGCTGGAGGGATGGAAAGTTCCCCCAAGTGGGCCAGTGAGCAACTTGGACCTGAGACTTTGAATGGTGAGTTTCTCGTTTTATCCGAGTAGGGATCACGGGGTCGGGTCCCTTTATGTTCTTGCAATGCACACGGAGCCCAGGCGCCATGCACCTCCGCGTTGCGACCGACTCAGAAGCACTGAAGGTTCCATGCCTGCTTGGTGCCAACGCCCCTGCAGCTGCGGCCAATCCGCCGAGCCCACGGAAGCGTCGGATCACACTCTCAGACGAGGTTTGGTGCAAGAAGGCACGGCTCTTAGACCGCCTTGATGCTCCGAAGCGCCGAATCTGGCGCTCCACTGAATACTGGGCAAAAAAGGCCCGAAGGGCCTGAGCCTTCCAATAGAATCGATACGATGTTTTTGTTAGCATGCTTTCGCGGAGAATGCCGGGTGCTTCAGGAAAAAATGGCATGCCGCTCTGTTGGTTCAGGCGAGTGTGGTGTCTAGAGCTGCCAAATCCTAGACCAAACACGCTGACAGCTTTGATCAGTGTCTCCACACCAAGCTCTCACTTAAGAGAGCCTCCTCATGCCTTCCGAAGACGTCCTTCGTAGCTCGGCAGGCCTACACTCCTGAGCGGAAAGAACACAGGTCTGCTCGATCTCAGGCGCCGGAGTCGGGGGAAGGCATTGTCTTTGTTCTGACAATGATAGTGCTGCGGATGCAACCACTACGACCACCACTACCACCACCACGACGACGAAGGCGGCGGCGACGACTGCTCCTGCTACTGCTACTGCTACTGCTAGTGCTACTGCTGCTCCTGCACCTGCTACCTACTGTGCAAAAGCCGAAAACTAACTCCGATGACAACTCGAAAAAGCCTTGGAGCGAGGCACCTTCCTTCCTGCAGCAGCGGAGTCAGAGCCAGCAGGCCGAGGCACCAGCTCTAAAGCGGGGGGGAGGAGGGGGGGGGGGTTTGGCTGTTCCATCACCTTGTTTTTTTACTCTAGATTCCTGGGACTTATGCTGGTTTATGCTGTGCAATTGAGAGTTGTTTCTCTGCAAAGCTTGAGGTATGTATAATGCAGATGTGGTTCGCGTTCTAGAGAAGGAGTGTATGGTGAACCGGTATGCCGTTGTCATCAACTGAAGATGTCGGCATGAACATGTACAGTGGTGACCTGTCTGCACAACAGGGAGAGGTCAGTTGCTGCAGAAGATTTTGAAACACAGGTGTCTCAGGCCAGTTGGCAACAAACTCAGTTCTAGTCTGGGTCCTAGGATTTTCGTCCAATATTCGTTCCCTGGACGAAAAATGTTTTCTGCACCATAGCAGCAACGTCGTACTCTTTGGGTCCAGTCTCGTGTCATCCATCGTAATGAGTCAGACAACAACTGCAGGATTAACTGACCGAAAGGTGTTACATCACAAGCGTAGGCGTAGACAGTACTCTACTGTTACAAGAGATTGAATGCAGACACGTTTTTTGCCGTAACTACCTTATGCTGTATCCCATGCAGGCGGAATATTGGTAGATAGGTCAGGAGTGCATCAAAAGCAGCACAGTGAATGCCATTGTGACACCCAGCACGGATATGACGTTAAACTTGACGTAGCGGAGTAAGCCTCAAGTGCGGAGAATCATTGTGAGAGATGGGTACCGTGCAGTTGACAAGCATCCCAATATCCACGAACATGTAGATGCAGCGTATGCAAAGCCTGGAAACACATCCTTCAAAGAACGAAGACTAAGGACACTGGATGAAATCCAGCATAGATCAACACATGAGTAGTTCGATTGTATGAGGTTGCGAGGCTCAACAGCCATTTGGGCACCAGCCTATTTTCTATGCATACTTAGTGCGCGCATCTGGCACGTTCTAATCTGTGAGATAGACGAGTTGAGCAAAAACATCGTCCAGGTTGTTCAGTTTGTGGTATCTTCCGGAAGTTCTCAATGGAGCCTAGTGCGCGAATGCTTCTTCTCCGGCAGATGTTCGTAAAAAGAGTGTCATGCACAGGAGGAACACATGTGGCTGGGAAGGTGTGGGCTGGAAAAGACAGCTCGCCCGAGATGAGAAAGACATATAGGTCATTGCACATGCCTCTGTACGATTCGATGTGAAGGCCAGTGACATTCTGGCATGTTGTTGCAAGTTCCGGGGAAGCTGTTAAAGAGAGAGCATGTTGTGGAAAGTTGGCTCATGCTCGCAAGGGTTCTCAATGATTGACAGTGTCGAGAACTCCACCGGCAAGTGAACCCAACAGCGAGGCTAAGTAGTTGCTTGAAACTGATTACTGAAACGGGCTGACGGTCCTCTTCGAGGATATCTGCGGTGCTCCGGGTCCCGTCAGGATGTCCTCGATGATGCGCACTGGGAGCGGCGCCTCGTCGAGTGCTGCCCCCAAGATACAAAACTAGAGTTATATGTGCTATATACATATATATATATAAATATATAAATAAAGATGTATATAAAGATATATATATATATAATTTAATGTTCAATGATAGAGGGCCGATCGGAGTTTCATGTGTCGCAAATTAGATGAGCTCGGATTGACCAACGAGGAGCGGCCGGTGCTCGGCGCTCGTTCGTCTTGCGGATGGCGACGTGGACCTCTACATGGGTTCGGAGCTCGGAGGAAGAGGAGTCTGCCCGGTGTCGGAGCTCGAGTGCGGACATGCAGGTTTGAGTTCGTCGTTGCAGAGGCTTAGGATTGCGGCCCATAGTGGGAGAATAAATTCACAGAAGTTTGTGTCATCGGATGTAGCATTCCATGGAGTCCCAAGGACCAAAGGTGTAATCAGACACGGGAAAACTCAGCCATCCACGGTGGAGTTCGGCAGGTCCAGGGTCTGACGTCCTCGCAAAGGGGGTAAGCGAGCTGAGATGATAGGAGCAGGGTCCGAGTGAAGACCAACGAACTGCAGCGGGTCCATGCACACAGTTTCACTGAACACGAGACTGATGATCGAACAGAATCTGGAAGCTGTATATCCCTGCCGCAGTTGGAGCCTTAAGGTCATGCTACCTGGGACGACTACAGCAAGATGATGCGGATCTTCAAGTGCCCGGGGGTTTGATTTGACGGGTACAGGTTCAACTTTCGAAAACCGAGTTCGACAGCAAAAGGTCCCGTCTCTGTTGCGCTGCGGTCATTGCGGTCAGATTTCGCTTTTGAGGTGCAAGTCTCGCGGGCTTTCGAGGGTTGCAGGCTTGGGTGGCGGGTGCACGTGCAGGTTCTACAACTTCTCGCTCCCAGAAGCCGAGACTGCGGCGACCAAAATCTCGTTTTCATCCTACCCGGGGGTCATCACAAGCCGGCGCCCTGGAGCCAGAGGTAAGGCGCTGTGAATCTTTCAGCTGTTGGGTTCCGTACAGGTGGATTGAAGGAATAAAGTACCGTGAGAACTGAGTAGTTAGGCAGCTTCGAACCCAGATCACAGGGTCAGGCGGCTGTGTTCTGCGACCAACGTACCTGCTCACGAGCTTCGGCTTCAAGACTTCGAGCATGCTGCATATTCAAGCTGATGCTCACGAGAGGAAAGATTGCTAACCGAGAATACATCTACAGTACCAACCAACCAACCAACCAACCCGTCGGGAGAGTTAGGGCAGGCTCAGCTGTAGGGTTAGGTATGTCGACCACCATTCCATTGGATGCGCCCCAGCGGGTGGGCGATCCAACTGTGCTGAGGGCACTACAACAACAGTATGGTGGCGGCAGACAGGCTGATAAAGACGGCAGCCTGTATGCTCATGTCGGCAACAAGCCGATCCCTCCGCCCAAGGCACTGCGAAAGATCCATGCGCACCGTCAAGAGGAGCGACAGCAGCAAGCGGATGAGCAGGAGGCGGAGGAGTTCGAGAGGAAGATGGGAATGGAGGTCAGGGAGAGCCGCACAGTTTTTGGAGAGGGCGCAGTCAGCGAGGTTTCGGCGGCGGCCCTAAGACGCCGAGAAGCTCAGGAGCAGCTCGATGGCTGCGCCCTTTCGGAGGCTGCGAGCTGCTACGAGCTTTCGGGCTGCGGTTTGGCGGAGTGCAACGGTCGCTACGACTTTTCCGAAGCCTCGTCCCGGGGTGCACCGGTATACCAGAACACTGCGGGTTGGATCCTTCACATGGACAGGGTGCCAGAGCTCGACCAGATTGGGACGGACGACGAGAAGTACCAATTTGGTTGGCTCGTGTCCAAGGACCGGAAGCCTTTCTATGGTGTGCGCACAAATGACGTACAGATCCCCAGCGTTGGCTGGCAATGCTTTTATGGCCCACCTCCAGGGCCCTCCGCTGTTCGTGGCACTAACTGGGAAGAGCACTTCCTGGCCACTGCGGGGTCTTTGAAAGAGAAGGGCAACGTAGCCATGAAGGCTGGTCGTTCCAGTGAGGCAGAGCAGCACTATGGCGAGGCCATCGGTCTGATGCTCGGCTACGATGGGGTCGTGGAGGCCTCAAGGGCCCTCCGTGAGCTTCAGCTGGCCTTGTTTGCGAATCGTGCAGAGGCACGGCTTCGGCAACAGCTCTGGGAAAAGTCTTTGGAGGACAGCGAGTTCGTCTTGGCCAAGGACCCCCTCCATGCCAAGGCCGCTGTGCGCCTGGCGAAGGCTTGGAAGGGCCTTGGTTGTCTGGGTCGTGCGGCCCAGGCGCTGTCCCGGATTCGGGGCCCACGAGGGGCAGGTGCAGAGTTGGAGGCCTGGTACGAGGAGGCCGCGATCCTCCACGCTTGCGATGCTTGGGAGGCCGAGGCCAGCGCGGCCAGCGATGCTCAGAAGGAGGAGATGCCAATGGCGCATTGTTTGCTCGGTGTCCACAAGGCTGCGCGGCAGCTGCAGCAGATGGCCACTGAGTGGGGGAGGCCTCCGAGAATTCAACGTGTGCGGCTATGTACACAGAGTATAATATGCAGAGTTGTTCTACGCACATATACATAAACATGTACACACACACACATGCATGTATAGTGTATATATATATACACACACATATATATATATATAAACATACACACACATATATATATGTATGTATGTATGTATGTATGTATGTATGTATGTATGTATGTATGTGTAT